CCAAGTTATAGCTGTTGTGTTTGCTAATGTCAATTAGCTGTGGCAGCCATGTTGACCTGGGTTGACTCAAACTATTTGTAGGAATTCATCCAGCAGGATGACAGGATAAGCCACTTTACTCTGAGACGTCATTGTGTGGCACCTCGTCAGGATTCAGTCACCTTGCTGTTCAGAGACTGCCCTCAGCGCTGAGTTTCTGAAGCTTCTCATCATCCACACCCAGCGACGGTGTCATTTACTCGTGGAGAAACTGCTACCTGTCGCGTGACCCGGCGTCGCTTTTTAAATGTCAGGAAGCAGAACAGTTGTGGAAGAAGTTATAGATCATCAGGAGCGGGGGAGGCAGATATTTGTGGGGTGAAGAGATATTGATTTCTGTAAATTCAGCTCGCAGGGTGGATCGCTGCCACAGCGGGCCCTCATGAGTTATCGATCTGATTTTATGGATATTGAGTCAAGGTCAGTACGAATGAGGACTTGGGCTCTGTCACAGGCACGGCAGCAGGAAGAGACGGCGATTATGACCATCACTTAAATGTTTTGCGTTTGGTTCATTTAAGACAGGGAGTCCTTGTTCAGCAGAGAAACTCTGTCTCCAAGGTTAAAACTGTTACCGATAGTCCAGACTGCTTATGCTCTTATCACGTTGGTCCCATGGTAGTAGCCACAAATCAGACTTCAGCATGAAGTGCCAAGAAAACTGAAAAATTATCTTTGATGCAACACGACCCAAACACACAGACCTTTCCTCTGCTGCTTAGCAAGACATGGATCATAACTCTGGGTCCATAAACGTGTAGCTCGCAACTCTTTAGCCTGTACTTTTGTGTTTATTGGACAATAGATTGACTGAGTCATGCGTGTTGCAGCAGTGTTGTTGGCTTTTATTTTCAGATTTACTAATTCAAAGAACGTCCTACTAAGAGCTTAGAAAGTTTTGTCAAATATAAAACAATAGACAATATGTATCTAAACCTTCAAGTCAAAGTTTGCGTAGCTGATTCATAAATGAAACATTCAGGAGCTCAAAATCTACAACCCCAATCCTGAAAAAGTTGCAATGTGGAAAAAAGTAAATTAAAACAAACTTCTAATTTTTTTCAGCACTGAAGTTGTATGGCTGTTGTTGTAAAACATTAATACTGCTGTCGTGTTCATCAAAACGAGTAAAAGCCTTCAACTGTCACTCTTAAGGGATGATTTACCCATGATGCATCCTGTCTGAATAAGTTAAACCATCAAAAGCCTGTATGTAAAATATTTTTAGTACCTAGTTCGGAAATGGCTTAGACATTGTCTCAATTAAAATGATTACGGTAGTCCCTCGTTTATCGCGGGGGTTACGTTCCAGACACCCACGCGATACGTGAAAATTTGCAAAGTAGCAACACTATATATTTTAGAATTTATTAGTATTTATATATATTTAAGGATTTATAAACCCTTCCCACACTCTTGCAATGTTCTAAACTCTTAAACCTACGCAATGTTAACAACATATGTATATGTACTGTACAGTACTGTAAAATATTACTCACTAGCTCTGCAGACCAGCAGCTCGGTTTCGGTCTTCAGGAAGCTTCAGGATTATTTGCGACTTTCCTGCCAGTTCTGTGAGCTTGATAGATAAATAGACGGATAGATAGAGAGATAGATAGAGATAGATATAGAGATATAGATATACAGTGCCTTGTGAAAGTATTCGGCCCCCTTGAACTTTTCAACCTTTTGCCACAGTTCAGGCTTCAAACATAAAGATATAACATTTTAATTTTTTGTGAAGAATCAACAACAAGTTGGACACAATTGTGAAGTGGAATGAAATTTATTGGATGTGTCAAACTTTTTTAACAAATAAAAAACTGAAAAGTGGGGCGTGCAATATTATTCAGCCCCCTTGCGTTAATACTTTGCAGCGCCGCCTTTTGCTGCAGTTCCAGCTGCAGTTCCAGCTGCAAGTCTCTTGGGGTTTGTCTCTATCAGTTTTGCACATGGAGACACTGAAATTCTTGCCCATTCTTCTTTGCAAAACAGCTCGAGCTCAGTGAGGTTGGATGGAGAGCGTTTGTGAACAGCAGTCTTCAGCTCTTTCCACAGATTCTCGATTGGATTCAGGTCTGGACTTTGACTTGGCCACTCCAACACCTGGATATGTTTATTTGTGAACCATTCCACTGTAGATTTGACTTTGTTTTGGATCATTGTCTTGTTGGAAGATAAATCTCCGTCCCAGTCTCAGGTCTCTTGCAGACTCAAACAGGTTTTCTTCCAGAATGTTCCTGTATTTGGCCCCATCCATCTTCCCATAAATTCTGACCATCTTCCCTGTCCCTGCTGATGAAAAGCAGGCCCAAACCATGATGCTGCCACCACGTTTGACAGTGGGGATGGTGTGTTCAGGGTGATGAGCTGTGTTGCTTTTACGCCAAACATATCGTTTTGCATTGTGTCCAAACAGCTGGATTTTTGTTTCATGTGACCAGAGCACCTTCTTCCACATGTTTGGTGTGTCTCCCAGGTGCTGGTGGCAAACTTTAAACAACACTTTTTATGGATATCTTTGAGAAATGGCTTTCTTCTTGCCACTCTTCCATAAAGGCCAGATTTGTGCGGTGTACGGCTGATTGTTGTCCTATGGACAGACTCTCCCACCTCAGCTGTAGATCTCTGCAGTTCATCCAGAGAGATCATGGGCCTCTTGGCAGCATCTCTGATCAGTCTTCTCCTTGTTCCAGATGAAAGTTTAGAGGGACGGCCGGGTCTTGGTAGATTTGCAGTGGTCTGATACTGCTTCCATTTCAATATGATTGCTTGCACAGTGCTCCAATTGTTGAAAAACTGTGAAAGAGCAAGTTCCGCGAAAGTCGAACTGCGAAATAGCGAAGGACTACTGTAAAATGAATGAATGTACATCCCCTTCCTTCTCTTGTTTGCCTGCTGTAATAATAAAACCTCGCCTTGGACTCATTTTCATAAGAACTGGGGTCTTTAAAACAAAGACTACATTTAATTAATTTCAGACTATTAAATTGACAAATCATTGATTCAGACTTCTTTAGCTCTCTGTTGCACCTCAATAGAAAGTGCTTTGGGGCTTGTTAATCCTAAAACCCGTCATACTTTATTTTCCAACAAATTAAAAAGTATAGAATCCACTTTATTCTATTGATTATTTGCAGCTGCACGTCTTAAACTTGGCAGTGATCTGCGTCTCTAACAGACTCGTGTCTTTCATGTGTTCCATAAGCACACCAACAGGAGGTTTTTACAGAGGCTCTATTCTCTCGCCTCCCTCCGGCCCGACATCGGTGAGGCATGAGGCAGCTGTCCTGCCTTCTTCACATTAGCTGTACAGATTGGATAAGCCTCGGTCGTAAAGCTGCACAATCCAACGCGCGCAGCTGTCACAGGACTCGCCTGCAGCCGTGTTGGCACATGTGGAATTGCCTAAAGAAGTTACTGAGTTTCCCAGATGTATGCGAGCATTGTGCAGGGAAGGAGTCAGAAGGTCAGCATGAGTGACGTGTGCCCTCTGGATATCTGACCACTTGCTGTGTGGGTTCATCTTGGATCAGATCACAGCCTATCTTATCTTATTTGCCATAAATGAGTTATCTTTATCACCCACCATTGTATGGGCGGTAATGTTTTCTGCCAGCGTGTATTTTATGTTAGTTTGTCTTTAGCAATGGCAAAATATCTACAAATAAGTGGGTTTTAATAAAACTCTTAGCGTAATCACTGGGTGTCGTGTATACACGATTAACTTTTGGAGTCAGTCCGATCCAAGATGGCTGCCATAACTAATCCCTTACCAACACAATTTTATTAATTTACTTAAAACTAGAGAAATTGCATCTCTTGCGAAAATGCAGTGTGAATGCTTATTACAGAAGAACTTGCTGAAAAACAGCTGAAATTAGCTAAAAACATGCTGAAATGCAGCTGACAGAAGAAAGCAGAAATAACTCATATTTGCTAAATTAGGTTAAAATATGCAGCAATTAGCACAAAAATTGGGAAATTAGCTCAAAGTAGCTAAAAAGGCAAAAAGAAGCTTAAACTATCAGAAGGAAGTGGAAGGAGCTGAAATGAGATAAAAATGTAGAATTAACTGAAAAAGATAAAACTAGCATCAAAAGAGCTAAATAGTAGCTGAAAGTGCAGAAATAGCTGAACCTAGGAGAAAAAAACTGAAAGAAGTGGTTATTATCTGAAAAAAGCTTAAATTAACAAAGAACAGCTGAATAGTAACAGAAGGAAGTGGAGAGAGCACATTTTTGCTGTATTAGGCTGAAAAAGTTTAAATGAGTGCAAAAAATGTGGAATTAGCTGAAAAAGCTAAAATTAGCATAAACAGCTAAATATTAGCTGAAATAGTAGAAAAGGCTGAAACTTGCAGAAATAAGCTGAAAGGAGAATAACGAGCTGAAATCAACAGGAAGAAGCGCAAAAATGTTCTAGTTGGCAGAAAGAATCTGAAAGGAGCACAAAACAGCTGAAATTGGCTGAAAAAAGTTTTAATTTGCACAAGGAAGCTGAATGAAGCTGAACCAGAAAAAGGTTGTAAACAGCTCAATTGATTTCCTATGGGGAAAAAAGTGGCAGAAAGGGCTAAATATTTCAAAAAGCTAAAGTTGCACCAATGCCAAAAGTCGTAGCAGGATTGTCCTGAAAGAGCTGAACGTTTTGATTTAGGATTTGTTGAAATGGCACAAAAACTGTGAAATGAGAAAGATGCTGAAAAATGTACGGAAGAAAAATGGATCACAATAGTGTGAATGCTTCATAAACATTCACACTAATACAGATAATGAGGTAAAGTTTATGTGGGAGTAGCTCAGTCATCCTCAACACATACACATACATTTTGTGAGGTGTGGCGGCCATCTTAAATTATAATGTTATGAAACACAGTGGGCCTTATGCATATCCTTTAATTAAGTGTAAGATTAAATCTTGTATTTATTCCTAAAAAAGATCTACCTTTCTCTACACAGAAACTTCGGAATTTCCACAGCCTTAGCTGCCCTGGCATCCCAGGCGACGACCTCAGCGCGCCAGGCCAGGCGGCACCCACTCTCAGGTGCAACACCGACGACTTGTCTGAAAACGAAGACGGCTCGGAGGACGTTGGGAGTTGGCCCAAAGATGGCGAGCCCACCAGGAACGAGTCGGCCACGGAGGAGGCGGACAGGAACCTCATAAACTGCCGCACCTCGACCGCAGGAACGACTGGCGGGAAGGACGGCGAGCCTCTGTGGGCGGGGCTGTGCAGCATGAGGAGGGACGTGTACCAGCTTGGAGGAGAGCTCGACATCGAGCAGATCGAAAGGAACTGAGCTGCTTTCCTTCTGAGGGAAGATGAATTAAGGGGCTGGAAGTTTATCACCAGGTGGTACAACAAACTGCTGAGAGTCTTAAGGACAAAGCGACGGAGAGCTCCTGCAGAGAGCGTTCCAGGGCTCGTCTTTTTCTGTTTTCAAGGAGGGACCGAACGGGCGTTTTATGCTTTAAATGTCCATGTTTGGGGACTGTGTTCAGAAGCGACTCCCCCACTACAGTTTTTTGTGTCTCAGGAGAAAATGCAAGTCAGGGAAGGTGGATCCGAGTGGAAGTAGAATGGATAAATTTCAAAATGTAATCTTAACCTGATTAGCCTACTTGTGCTTTGTTTGTAGAGAATTCACAGCAGGCTTGTATAAATTCTCTGCACTTGAAAGTGTCTTCTCCTCTGACGTTCTTAACTAGCACATAGGTACACGATGGAGAGAAATGGTCACCACTTAAAGAGCTACTGATGTTGAAGCCTCTTTCACTCTTACTGAGCAACAAGCCATACACACACACACACACACACCTACAATATATACTGAAGAGCTTAACGTTGTACTCTGTAGCTTCAGGCTTACCTGTGAGATCTATTCTCTGAATGTCTGAAATGTACTTCAAGATGATAACAGCCTTAATATTCTTTCTTTTTACGATTTGTAACGAACGTACTTAAAACATAAGCATAATTTCTATAAAGAATAAACAGGTTTAAAAGTCATTTGTAATCACATTATTTGTTCTTGCTTGTCGCTCGCTGCCAGTGGCGAAGTCATGACAATGTTTTACGCATGTCTGTCTAACCATCTCATGAACAACTGGACAGATTTTCATGAAACTTTTCAAGATCAAGATCTCCCAATTTTGCATACAAATTGCTCATAATGTCAACAAGTTTGACCAAAAACCTGATGTGCTTAGTCCGATTTTAATCACAAACACTGGCATGGACGCCAGCAGGCGATATGCGTTCTAATCGAGGCTCGGCTGCCAGCTCTGGGTTTGTGTCAGCAGTTTTTCAGACGTGTCTTAGTTGCTTAGTAAGTCGAAAGACGCAAGTGGGTGTGAATAGATTCTCTGGCTGGCCTGATTTCTTGTAAGGCTTTGACATCCTGTCTTGACTTGGTACACGTTTCAGTATGTTACTTTATGTTCACCCTAACAGCTTTAAAGTTTATATCCGTTTTGTGCTACTTTGATCAATATTATAGTTTTAACATGATCTGAATTGATCCTATTCTATAACTGGAGAAATTGCATTTCCTGCAAAAAATGCAGTGTGAATGCTTATTGCAGAAGAACATGATGAAATGTAGCTAAAATGGAAGAACGAGCCTAAATTAGCAAAAGTAAGCAGAAAGAACACTGATGAATTATGTTTAAATGAGCAGAAAAATTAAGAAATTGGCTAAAAATGCTGAAATAAAAAAGCTGAAACTAGCTGAAAAAGCAGAAAGAAGCTTAAACTACCTAAAGGAAGTGGAATGAGCTGAACTGGGCTCCAAAACTGGAATTAACTGAAAAACTAAATTTAGCATAACAGCTAAATAGTAGCTGAAATAACAGAAAATGCTGAAACTATCGAAAATAAGCTGAAAAGAGCAGAAAGAAGTTAATTAGGCTGAATGTAGCATATATTACCATGAAAAACTTGAATTTATCTGAAAACAGCTGAAATTAGTTAAAAATGCTAAAAGGTACCTAAAAAGGTAAAACTAGCTTAAATTAGCAGAAGAAAGCAGAAAGAACATTTGCCCAATTAGGTGGAAAAAAGCAGAAATTAGCACAGAAAGTGGAAAATATCTGAAAAAAGCTGACTGAAATAAGCCAAAAAAAAAAAAAAAAAACAGCAGAAAAGTAGCTAAAAAAGCAGAAAAAGCTTAAACTACCTAAAGGAAGCACAATGGCTGAAATGAGCTCAAACTGCAGAATTAACTGAAAAAGCTAAATTTAGCATAACAGCTAAATATTAGTTGAAGTAACAGCAAAATGCTGAAACTATCAAAAATAAGCTGAAATGAGCTTTAGCTGAAATTAGCAGAAAGAAGTTAATTAGGTTGAATGTGGCAGAGATTACCATGGAAAAACTTGAATTTATCTGAAAACAGCTGAAATTAGCTAAAAATGCTAAAAGGTAGAACTAGCTTAAATTAGCTGAAGAAAGCAGAAAGAACGTTTGCCTAATTAGGCGGAAAGAAGCAGAAATTAGCACAAAAAGTGGAAATTATCTGAAAAAAGCTGAAATAAGCACACACAAAAAACAAACAAACAGCTGAGAAGTAGCTAAAAAAAGGCAGAAAAAGCTTAAACTACCAGAAGGGAGTTGAGTATATTGTTGCTGAATTAGACTGAATAAAGTTTAAATGAGAGCAAAAATTGTGGAATTTACTGAAAAAGCTAAAATGAGCATAAAACAGCTAAATAGCTGAAATAGTAGGAAAAGCTGAAACTTGCAGAAATAAGCTGAAAGGAGCGTAACAAGCTGAAATTAGCAGAAAGACATTAGAAGAAGCATAAAAATGTTGTAGTTAGCTGAAAGAATCTGAAAGGAGCACTAAACTGCTGAAAGTAGCTGAAAAAAGTTTTAATTTGCAAAAGGAAGCTGAAAGAAGCTGAACCAGAACAAAATGTGAAAGGAGCAGTAAAAGGTTGTAAACAGATCTAGATGACGGATGTAAAAAAAATGCACTAAAGGCTAAATATTTCAAACAGCTAAAGTTACACCAACACCAAGTCACAGCAGGATTGTCCTGAAAGAGCTGAACGTTCTGATACATGATTTGTTGAAATAGCTTGAAAACTGCAGGAAGAGAAATGTGTCGAAAAACATTATGGAAGAAAAATTGATCCCAGTAGTGTGAATGTTTCATAAACATTCACACAAAAACAATTCAGTATAATTAAATCTACTTGTGATCGTTTTTACTGATAAGCTGAACATTGTAAGGCAGGACCTTCTCATAGGCTTTCCAAAGCAACATACATGGGGGAGAGGGGGGGGATCCTTTATGATGATGATGATCAGTGAAGAATATGCAATAACAGTGAGGTCATTGTTGGAGATGTCTTTAATACAACAATGCACCCTGACCCAGTTAAGTTGCAGGAAAACAATTGCAGCAGCAAGAGTGGTGCTTCTGATGGGACTGTGTTTGTGTGCTGAAGCAGGGACGGAGTGAAGGAGGACGCTGAGCAGGGGAGGGAAGTCCGGTCGCTTTTTCTTTTTTTTTTTTTTTTTGATGGCGGGTGGAGTGGTGAAGCAGAGCGACGGTTCACCCCAAAGACCTCGCTCCCTCCCCGCTTTGAGAAACAAAAGGAGCTTTTTTCTCTAAAGGAGCGCAGTGACGTGGGAGGCAGCAGAGAATGTGGGCCATGTGTCAGGCCTGTTGCTGCTCCGTTCATCTGCTTCCCCTCCCCAGCTCTGGTGCCTGTGCAAACTTCAACAGTTTATATCTTGTTGTCAGATTTCTGATTCACTGCTCTGTTGATGTGATTCAGCACATTCACACGATGCTTGACACAGTAAGGCACCTCTGGGAGCACAAAGTCGCATCATTAAAGAGCGAGCGAGTAATTTAAAGATTGCTTGACGTGCCATTCTCCAGGCTCAAATTCCACACAAAGCCCTTATGTGGGGACTTAAGTGGCCTGCAAGGCCAGTGCATACTCTCGTAATGGATTATTATGTTGTCCTACGAGAATCTTTACACTTGCACAGTGAGGTCACATCACTGTCAGCCGCCTGTGGCACATGCAAAAGCCACTCACTGGTTCTCTTCGTGTTCTGTCACGAAGGAAATGGTGTAAACACGTCCCTTGTTAAACATGCTGAGCAGCAGACTGACACACCGAGGGCCCCCGGCCTTTACTCGGTGAAGTGACCGGAGTGAAAGGAGGCTGTGTTCTGGGAGCAGATAGGCAACCGACAGGAGGGATGGGCCATGCCAAGGTTCTGCACCACGTTCCCACAAACCCCCACACAAGCACCGTGGTCACTTTTGAACTGTCACAGGAGTTTATGCATGGTCTTTTTTCCTGCGAGCATGATTCATAACGGACTACACGCTCCAACTTGTATACAAATGTTGCACAGTTTTGCCATCCAGAGGCTGATAAATTTGTTGGTTCTTTTACAGCTCGTTAAAAAACGCTTCATTTTTCTTAAAACCTGATTCAGTTTAAAGCAATTGTCTTATGTAAATCCGCGTGCCTTAAAACAAACAAACAAAAAGTAAATTATCCATGCAACGGTGACCAACCTCATGTTCCTTTTGACCACATCTGCCAATATTCTTAAAAAGTTTGTGGGACGAGCCACTTTCCCAAGATGTGGACGCAAGAGGAAATGCAACACCATGCCGATCAGATGGTTAGTGTGAATGGTGGAAAAAAAAAAACAAGGGAAACATTCAAAACCATTTAAGCTAGTGCAAAGGTCAACCTATGTCACTTAGCACTGGATGCTAAGAACTATGGCGTTGCACTTTATTTAGACCTGTCTAAAGCTTTTGACACTGTGGACCATGACATTTTGTCACGAGCTCTCAGAAATTGGTTTCTCAGTTCACACCATTGGTTGGTTCACTAACTATCTCTCAGATCGGAGGCAATGTGTTCAACATAATGGTACTTCTTCCAGTTATTGAACGATTAACAATGGTGTACCACAAGGCTCAATCTTAGGACCCACCCTCTTCACAATGTTTTTTTTTGTTTCTTTTTTTTAATAACATTTTCTTTCATTTATTCTTCTCAATTCACATGCTTTCTTTTATGATTGTCTACTCTTGTCATCATTCTTTGTTCAAAAACAGGTCTCTCTTGTAAATGAGTCCCCGAGGCTCAATGAGACTAAACTGTATAAATAAAGATTGAAAATTTTTTTTTTCTAATTGCACCATCAGGTAAAAAAAAAAAACCCACAAAAAAACACATCCGCTTTATGTTTACTGAAGAAAAAAATGAAGTTTTCAAAGAAAATAAACGTATACCCAAGTGAAACATGTAGGGGGGGTTAGTTTTCTTTTGGGGTGGTTTGCTGCATTTGGCGTGGAGAACCACAAAACTGCAGAGCGCAACAAAATCTCAAGACTACCAAGGCTTTCAGGACAAAATGTGCAGCTCAGTGTCAGAAAGCTCTGCCTCGGTCATGAGTTCTTCAACAGGATGATGATTCAAAACATACAGCTAAAAGCTCTCAAGAAGGTATGAGGAAAAAAAATAATTTATTTTTTAATGGCCCGCTATGAGCCCAGATCTTAAACCTTTTGAACATCTATGGAAAGATCTGAAAACTGCAGTGGATACGTCATCCTTCAGACTTTAGCTTGATGAGCAGTTAGCTCAGGAAGATCTTTTTTGTGTTGTGGAAGAATAAACAAACAAATTTGTGTCTGTCTGTATGTATTAATGCTGCATGACTAACATCTCTATAATGTGATAGGATTTGCTTCAGATGCAAACAAAAAAACTTTAATAAAAAAACAACAACGCATGTTTATGTGACATAAACCAATTGTTGGCAGTAGTTCTCGAGTTTCCCTACTTGGCAGCTCAAACGTGGTCAGAGTGAAGGACACCACCAAGCCGCAAAACATTTCCAGTTGAGCAAGTGAAGCTGATTTTTTTTTTT